GCGCGTAAACCTGTATGACCTTCAGCTAATCCCGTTTGGTGATTCTGAGTATGGTACGCAACCCTTGTCAACACACTCCCAATCTTTACAACGTTGTTAACGAGATACTTGTGGACGATAAATCCGACACCGCCTTGGGACAGCTGGTCGGCCTCCCGGTGATAGAACAAGTCGGATTCGAGAATTACCGTGCCCTCCCCCTCTCTTCGGACCTCGGATAATCCTATAATATTCCAGCGCATAGCTTCAGGATCTTCTTGTCAGTCCTCAGGGTGCGTTCGTTATAAGTTGCCAGGTCGAGGCGTCGTAGGTGGCAACCGAACCTCCACCGGAGATTCTTAGCACCCCCTGTCCCGCCGTTACCATGGTCGCCACCGTAGCCAGGAATAGCGGGGCCGCCGGGGACTGGAGGCCGTCTCTTCGTTACTATCATGGGGGGTATATTGCCATAGTGGCCACGCTTAGCGAGCGGGTTGGCAACCGCAGTTTTTTTATTTTTGTTTTGCTGTTATCAGAAAGATGCTGCTGCCCATCAGTATCCCTCTGTCGCCCCTTACGACACTCACGGGAAAACATTAGATTTGATTCCTACCAAGGCTGATTCGCGAGGCTATTGAAATTAAAAAACATCCTAATTTCAATAGAGAAGATGGATGGGTGCTGCCATCTGCTTGAGATCCTATAATTAATAAAATTAAATCCAACGGTGGTGACGGGTGGCGACGAGGTTCGCCACCTGTCACGTTCTGTCCCCCGGAGGGGCGAAAAGTGGATTGCGGAAGCCCGTCTGGCTACATTGAATGTATGTGGAGGAATGAATGATAAGATGGATGAAGTATGCGATATGATGTATGATAGAGGAATAGACGTGTTATGTGTAAATGAGACAAAACGGAAGGGAAAGAATGCCACTACACATGGCATGTATACCGCGTACTGGTCTGGTGTAGACGAGACCGAGCGGGCATGCCAGGGAGTCGGTATCATCCTTTCAAGAAGAATGGGTCATTGTGTGAAAGAGTATGAATGTGTAAGCCCGAGACTGCTATGGATACGAATGAAAGTGGGCTTAAAGAAGTTGTTTGTTTTAGGGGTCTACGCCCCAGACATGTCTAAGCCCACTTATATGCGAGAGCAGTTTTGGGAGTTGGTAAGGATGGTGCTAATGAAATGCAAGGTTAATGAAAATATTGTAATATTAGGCGATTTTAATGGAAGGGTTGGGGTGAGGAGGCTTGGTTATGAAAGGATATTGGGAACGTTTGGTGATGAAAGTATAAATGAGAATGGTGAAAGCCTTCTCGCCGTATGCGTGGAAAAGAATCTTGTTGTGGCGAACACTTTCTTTCGTCATAAGAAGATTCACACGTATACATGGGAAAGAGGTGATGATAGAAGTATGATAGATTTCATAATTGTTGATGAAAGAATGAGGAGCGCGGTGGTAGATACAAGGGTTTACCGGGGCTCTAACGTAGGGACGGATCATTACTTGGTCTTATGCCGAATTAATGGTCTTTTCAGACGTTGGAGGCATCGGACATCTGTGTCTACCACTGCGTTACAGCGTATAAGAACAGAGAGGTTACAAGATGAAGGTGTGAAAGAGAAGTTCAAATGTAGATTGAGAGAAAATATAAGTGGTATGGCTGAATTGTGTATGAATGATTTAGACTTGGAGACTGTGTGGTATAATGTCAAGAAAGGTTTAGTGGATGCTACCGAAATATGTGGTGTAAGTAAGAGAACGATTGAAAGGAAAAATAACACGTTATGGTGGGATGATGAGGTACGGATGGAAGTTGAAGCAAAGAAGAAAGCATGGCTAGATTTACCAGCAACCAAGGCTAGTAGTTCTAGCAGTATGAATGATGATATTGAAAGGAAAAAGGCAGTTTTTAGACACCTAAATAAGAGAGTAAAAGAAGTAGTTGAAAGGAAAAAGCAAGAAAGGACGGATAAGAATGATAGAAGAATATCGGATAACTTCCAGGCAAACATTAAAATGTTATGGAAACTCGTAAGAACTACCAGGGGATATTCACAACAGCCTAGAATGAATGCTATACGAGACCAGAATGGCTGTATTCTGAATGACGAAGTTTTGAGTTTAAGGAGATGGAAGGAATACTTTGAAAGCGTGTTTATGAGTGATGAGACGCTTGAATTAAATGAAATAGAAATTCCGAAAGAAGAGGAAATAGATAAGAGATATAAGTATAGATGAAATAATGAAAGCAATGAAAAGTATGAAAGCAGGTAAGGCAGCCGGTTATGATATAGTATCTCTCGAAATGCTAAGGGCTGGAGAAGGAGTGGTGGCAGACCTGCTGTACACCTTGTTTAATTTATGTTGGGAACTTAAGCGGGTACCGGGAGACTGGTGCAAAGCCGTGATAGTCCCAATATATAAGGGAAAAGGATCACAGCAGGACTGTAAAAACTACCGTGGTATCAGCCTTCTTAGCATTGTGGGAAAACTGTATGCTAAGGTACTAATTGAAAGAGTTATGAAAGAAACTGATGGAAAAATTTGGGATGTGCAAGCGGGATTTAGAAAGGGAATGGGATGTACGGATCAGGTATTTTCCATGCGCATGATCGCGGAGAAGTTTTTGGCCAAAAACCAAAAAGTTTTTTGTGCGTTCATAGACTTGGAGAAGGCTTATGACAGAGTGGACATGGATGTGTTATGGCAAACACTGAACTCATTTGGGTTGACCGCTGGTCTGATACAGGCATTGAAGTCTCTATATAGGGACTCTAGTGCTTGTGTCAGGATCAACGGGGCCTACTCGGACTGGTTTGGCATCCATAAAGGTGTCAGACAGGGCTGTGTGGCTTCCCCGTGGTTGTTCAACCTATTTATGGACAGTTGTTTGGAAAATTTGAAACTAGAAGAATGCGGGTTAAGAATGGGTGAGTTAACCGTCAAATGCCTTTTGTACGCCGGTGATCAAGTCATACTTGCATCGTCGGCAGCCGAGTTGCAAATGATGGTTACATTAATGAACAGGACATTAAAAGAAAAGGGAATGAAAGTGAACGCAAGTAAGACGAAAGTTATGGTTTTTGAAAGAGAAGAAAGTAAAACGATATGTGAAATAAGAATAGAAGGGGAGTTGGTAGAGCAAGTAGATGAGTTTGTATATTTGGGATGTGTGTTTAGCAGGGATGGTAGATATGATAAGGATATAGAACGACGAGTGAATGCAGGAAATAGAGTGAATGGGGCTCTGCACTCTATTGTGAAAAGTCAGAATGTGTCCAAAAAGGCACGTATGGCAATTCACAATGCTGTGTTAGTACCTACTTTAATGTATGGTAGTGAAAGTTGGGTGTGGCAGAAGAAGCATGAGAGTAGAATAAATGCTGTAGAAATGCGGTCATTAAGGAGTATGTTAGGGATGAAGCTGAATGACAGAGTGAGAAATTGTTAATAAGAGAAGAGTGTGGTTTGAAAGATGATGTTGTGACCAGGATTAAGAAGGGAATGCTTCGGTGGTTTGGCCATGTAGAAAGAATGAATGAGGAAAGAGTGACAAAGCAAATTTATGTTGCAGAGGTGAACGGCATAGTCGGGAAGGGTCGCCCTAGGCGAAAGTTTATCGACCAAATTGGCGATATATTAAAAATGGGCCAAATCAAGAGTACCTTTAACCGACGAGCGTGTATGCGTAGGTATATGGATGTGGAGGAAGCGAGAGAGGTGTGTCAGGATCGTACCAAATGGAAGTCCATAATCTCAGCCTACCCCTCTGGGTGACAGGCGTGAGTGTTTATGTTATGTAAATCCAAACCCAAGCATACCATTGTAAGACTTCAAGATATTGTAAGCTCATTCTGCGTAGACCGAACCAAGAATTAATATTCAAAAAACTGAAGGTAGCTGGGCTAACTATGACATCGGGATATCAAACACCTCAATCCCCCCCCCCCCCCCCGTGACCATGGGTGCTGTAAAGCACCCGAAACGTCGGGAATTAAAAAGTTAAATTAAAACGCGATAAAATCCGTAAAAATTAGTTTCATTTAATCTCCTTTTTGAAGTCGGTAGATAAAAATATTTCAAGGCAAATGATTTATTTAATATCATAATTTTCAACCACAAGTGCGGCATAAAATATAAGATAAAAGTTTCATTTTATAGCAAATAAATGTTACAACCTTTATTTAGACATGTCGGGCATTTAGTGTAATAAATCAAAAGAATATTTTCTTTCGGGTTAAACTGCTTTGTAAATAGCGCCATCTACTTCATTGTATTGGTAAGTCATTTTATCGAACAAAAATTGACTTTCAAGATGGTACCTAAAATAGACACTAGATGGCCTAAACACGACTAATCTATATACAAATAAATAAAATTGAAGTGTCTCTTTGTAACAGCTTTTTACTAAATAGATATACCAAAAACCAAAAAAGAAAACAATTTTTAAAATGTTCGTCTGTTTGTTCCGGCTAATCTCCGAAACAGCTGAACCGATTTTGACGGGACTTTCACTGGCAGATAGCTGATGTTTAAGGAGTAACTTAGGCTACATTTTTATTTTAGAAAAAGAATTAGGGTTCCACGCAAAAAATTAAAAGAAAGGAAATACAATCATAATAAATTCCACGCGGATGAAGTCGTGAAGAACAGCTAATTTAGTATAGTATTCTCTCTATAGTCTTCTCTGGCAGGCTAAATCGTATAGATGTGTGTTTGCCTCTTTTTAGTGTAATTTTTTCGTTTCATCGAGTTTAGGCTACAGAACCGATATGAATCATAATATTTGAGAAAACAGAGCCGAACAAATAAAACAACGAACGTATTTTATTATGTTTTACTAGGAAATAAATATAACTAAACGATACATTTTTTACAAGTGTGGGATGTTTTGAACTTAGGAAAAAACACGATCGGCGAACAGACGCAATTAGTTACAAAAGCTTGGGGCGGTGTAGTGCGTTGCGGTGCGTTGCGATGCGATGCGGTGCGGTGCGGCCGGCGGCGGACGTTATAACCGCTTGAGGATGCGGCGCCGCTCGCGCGCGCCCGCCGCCCGCCGCTCGCGCTTGGCGCGCGGCGCCCCGCCCGCCCCCTCGCGCCCCTCGCCACCCTCGCCCGCCTCGCGCCCCGCCCCACCCTCGCCCTCCAACTCTCCCTCCGCGCCGCGCTCCTCCTGCACCGATCGTACACACCTCAATATATTACGCGTCCATAGTCATGAGCGTAGATTGACATGACGTTACACATAAATTTCAGTGCCTTCGAAATGTCCTAATGTTTTGTAATATAATTACTTCTGCATAAGTGAAAAAGTTCCCCGTCGTCGTCATGAAGTGCTTCAACATACATACGCTGTACGAGATATCTTACATGATTTTGTATGTGTCTAGCTTAAGTTTCAGCACCTTTTTGTTATACGCGTGCAAATTCTATCATGCAATTAATTAATACATTAGTGTACTTATTATCAAGCACACAACGTGGTCGGTTTTATTTATTATATTGGTTATCATATTGATTTTATTATAATATTTGGTCCTTTGAGCTGGATATGAACCTTCGACCTATGGATTTTGGATTTTATTTATGGATGAAACACTTGTGCCTGCTTATTTTATGGCCAAAATTACAAGCTAAAAAACCACTAAAAAGAACCCCTTTGTCGTATCTCCTCAGTTTCAAGGCACTCCCCTTGTTGGCTCAGCCAGTATCGGAATCCTCGGCGTCGACATATCGAGTGACGTGCAGTTTCGTGGTCACTTGGAACAAAAGGCCAAATTGGCCTATAAAAAACTTGGCGTGCTCAGCAGAGCGGAACATTATTTCATGCCGGCACACCACCTGCAACTTTACAAGGCGCAGGTTCAGCCTCACATGGAATACTGTTCCCATCTCTGGGCTAGGGTTCCCCAGTGTCAGCTCCTTCCACTTGACCGCATCTAGCGCAGTGGCTCGAATCGTCGACGACCGAGTCTTTTCCCATTGACTCGATTCACTGGCGCTGCGAAGAGATGTTGCATCTCTTTGCGTATTTTATCGCATCTACCACGGGGAGTGCTCTGAGGAATTGTTCGAATTAATTTCAGCCACACAATTTTACATCGCACATCGCGACAAAACTTGTGATAACATCCATACCATCTGGATGATTAGCGGTCCACCACTGTGCGTTTTAGAAGAAGTTTTCTCCCTCGCACAACTTCCTTTTGGAATCGATTACCACCAGCGAATTTTCCGGACTGATGCGACTTAGAGCCTTCCACGAAAATAGCCTACTCCTTTTTGAAAGGCCGGCAACGCATCTGTAATTCCCTTGGTGTTGCAGTTGTTCATGGGCGGCGGTAGTCACTTACCATCAGTTGAGCTGTATGTTTGTTTGCCCCCTCTCCTATAAAAAAAGCTACGCCCTACTGTTAGAAATAAATCTGTTCCAGTAGTAAACACATTCAGCAAACAGATAGGCTGTACTCTTCTTTTCCACCTTCGGATAACCAGGCGATTGGTGAATCAAGGTAGAATTTTTATTGCCGACATACCACGCATTTGAACCAATTGGTTTGCTTCATCGTTCGTTATGCGTACAACAAAAGAGTGAAATCCAGCATCTGTCTTTCAATCCGGTTACAATTTGGACGTCTTCAAGGCAAAAGTGAATAGGCTTTTGTTACGTAAGAGCGTTTTACTATCTTCGGCTGCAAATTACTTACCATCAGGTAGGATATTAGTCAAGCGCTGCCTTAAATGTTGGTAAATAAAAAACTGATTTTCAATAAGTATTATGTAATAATCAATATTGAATAAAAATCACACCATTCTATTCTATTCTATTCTTAGAATAGTGAAAAAAATATGAAATGCGAAGTGTTAATATTTAATGTTCCTGAGCTATTAAAGTATAGCTCAACTGCTGGATAATTTTTAAAATCGGCAATTGTTAAAAACGCAAAGCAATTTCAGAAAATTACGATTATTGTGTTTTACAAGATAAATTTTAAAAAGGTAGGTAAAGGTACCTGTGCGCGCGTGTGAGCGGTTTGCGGTCGGTCGAGGCGGTCGGGACGCGCGTGTATGTCGGTGTAGAGCTTGGCGCGCGCGAAGTAGTCGTCGTAGCGGTCGCGCAGCAGCGCCGCCGCCTCGGCGTTGAGCGCGGAGTCGGCGTTGGGCGCGATGAGCAGGCAGCGCACGGCCAGCAGCGCGTGCGCCAGCCCCAGCTCGGCGCGCCAGTCGCGCTTCAGCGTGTTCACGCACACCTCGCCCGCCGCCGACACGTTCGGGTGGAAGATCTTCGTCAGGAAGAACGCGCGCGGCGGCGCCGCCGGGAACTCGCGCCCCAGCGCCAGCCGCACGCGGAACACGCCGCCCGCGTACGGCGTGTCCGCTGCACCCACCGCACGTTAAACCTCGACACTCGACACTCAGCTTCTCATCAATATTATCAATATTATACGAATGATTCGCAAGGCTATTCAATTAAAAAAAAATGTCCTAACTTTAATAGAGAAGATGGCCGGGTGATACCATCTGCTTGGGATCCCATAATAATTAATGAAATTAAATCCCAACCTAAGAATATATTTTTTTTTATAAGACAAGAGTGACAAACAAGCACACAGTCTACCTGACGGTCAGTGGTTACTGCGGCCCATAGACATCTACATCTATCCTCTATTACAAATCAAAATACAGATGCGTTGCCACCCGTGAGGACTAAGATGAAATGCCTCATTTCCAGTAAAAAGGGCCTCCGGCCACCTGCACTCACCAAGCAAAACGCAGAGGTAAAAACTCTACTTTACGCTGGTATTCTGTAAGTTTGTGGTACCACCCCGGTACGAGCCGACCCATCCGTGCGACAGCAAAAGCTGCCGCATGGCTCTACCACTGTTGTTGCTGTGCATATGACTACAAAACTTCAAAATACTATAAGTTCATACAGCATAGTCAGACCAAAAATGAATAATTGTAATCAGAAGGTAGCTGTGGTTAAACATTGTGACCTCCAAAACCTCAGTGCCCCCATCACTACGGGAACTGAAGTACTCGAAACATTGAAAAAAAATCTGTAGTATTTTTATTTCAAATTCACAGCATTCTAAAAAATACTTGTCAGAGCTGCGAGTCAAACTGACTCAAAGGTGTTTTTGATCGGCTATGATGAATGAATGCTTTCATTTGATCCTAAATCTTAGAATTTAATTTAGCTTTCTATTTAATTCCTTTAACCATCTCTTACAAATTCTGAACCTTACATCCTTTTCAATACAACTGCTTATATAACTACGCCAAATTTCAATGATTAATATGAAATAGTCACTCAGGAAAATGTTTATGACAAACAGACAATGTCAATGACAAAGAAATATACATTATAAGGGTGCGTACAGATCAAGTAATATGTTGTATAACTTCTGTTTTATAACACAACCACATTATGTAACATTGTTTATCAACATTGCAACATATAACAATACTGTACACATTAGAATAACAATGCAAAATAACAATGTTATATGACATTGTCGTTTGACGTTCATCTTTTCCAGTTATATAACGTTTGTGCCACGTTATATAACACGTATTATAACATTTAGACTCCACATTACTGAAAGATGTTATATAAAAAAGTTTTTATAACATGTTATGTTATATAATGTGTATGCACCGTAATATAATTATACTCAACCAAATCTAAGAAATACCTGTTGACCAGACATTAATTGGTCTAGGCGTTCCAACTTTACTGGCCTCCGTCAACTGGGTTCCCTCTACTGCGCCACATTGAGTGGCGTGGGGCTACCCTCTCCCAACCAGAGATGTGACATTTTAAAAATAAAAGTATTTGAAATGCAAAATACAAAATACCTATTTTCATTTTGTATTTAAATACTTTTTTTAGAAAAGTATTTTATATTTTGTATTTGTAAAATGCAAAATACTTTTTGCTAAGTTTTGTAAACATCAAAGAATTAATAATTAATGTGATGAAAAATCATACTTTTTTTTCTCACTATGGCAACACTAAATTGAACTGCTTTCTTGTCAGACCACATATAGTAGTAATCAGCAGGCCACTTAGGTTCCCGAATGCATTGAACCGAACGAACAAACGAAAAAAAATGAATCCTACTACATGCTCTATGATGATTTGGATACCTCACTAACTAGTGGTAGTGCAAATGCAAACACCACTGCAACACCTGGAATCATTGTAACATTTGAAGGATAATGATGTCAGCCTGCAATCACCCTACAGTAAAGTTGTTATTCTTGAAATATAATACTTGCTTGCCTAGCTCTATGCTGGTAGAAAGGCTTTTTTTCACACAGGAGAAAGATGAGCGACAGTGTATTTGAGCAAATTATTTTATTAAAATCTGTTAAGTAAATTTAATTTAAGTAAGTTATCAAAGTAAATTTACCAGCGTGTTAGCTGGCTGAAATAAATTAACTTTTTAACAAAATAAAAATAGTTTAAAACTAAAAGTATGTTATTTTATAAAAGCATTTTGTAAATACGTATTTTGCATTTAGTATTTTAAATATAAAATGAATAACAATTTTGTATTTGAAATAACAAAATATAAAAAGTATTTGCATTTAAATACATTTTATAACCTATTTTGCACATCTCTGCTCTAAACTCTCTCCCCCCATAAATCAGCTTTATATTGTCAAAAACATTACTTCAAAATGAGATTTTAAAAGGTTGAGGTTTATAAAAAAACCTAAGCACATCTGGCAGGAGAAGTGGGGGGCGACTCTACAACTCCCCCCCCCCCCACACCCAATTTAGGTGACTTACTTTCAAACCTTAAGCGCTTATTACATTATCCAATTTTTAGGAAATCTAATTAGGAAATTGGAAAGTGTAATCATAGTTAGAACAGTTAGGATCCGATTTAGTTAAAGTTGGAGGTCCCGACCGCTCTACTTTCTAAATTGTCTACAATTTAGGACAGTGTAATCGCAACGTTACGATTTAGAACAACCAGTCGGCGCCCGCGCTTCGACCTAAGTGGGTGTCTTGACCACAGAGTACCTTTATATATACTGAAAGTCTTGACTGCGCGTGCGACATTTTTTTGCGATGGCGAGTGAAGCGACAGAACTGAGCAGTGGTTCGTGTGGCAGCATGTCCATAGAAAAAGAGGTGTTATTACAAATTATAGACCTGTATAGGGTAAATGCCCTATTTGTATAATAAAAATGATGAAAACTATTTAAAAAAAGCAATGCGTGAAGAGGGCTTCAAGGTGTTGTTAAATATTTACAAATACAATGACAAGTATTCCTTAACCCAGCATATTCTCTTTTTTCTTTTTTTAATATCCATTATTCCCACCACGGCTAAGGCAAGTCCTATTTTCTGCTGTTTTGATAAATACGGCGCCATCGATCAAACGTGCAACCCCGTCGATACTTCTCTTACGAATGTGCTTCGCCACGATTTAGAATTCAATTTAGTGTAATGTGATCACTAGCTTCCAACTTAGGTTCCTAATTAGATTTTCTAAAAATTGGATAATGTAATAAGCGCTTTACCCATATTAGACATTAATTTTAGCTTATATCTTCATTTTTAGTTGGACTAGTGATCACTATGCCCTAATGTGCCTTCATATCCATTAATTTAATTAAGTATATTTTTTATTCCAACCTATACAATTGATATTAACTTACCACACTTAGTATTTTGTCCTAATATTATTTGATTATTTTGCAGGTGTGGCATTTTTTTTAAAGAAAACATAATATACTAGTTTACTGTAAATCTAATTTTGCACATTCGATTCAGCAATTGTTATCATTAAAAATTTTCTTGTTCACCAAATAACAGCTGTAATATACCTGTTATACAGCCACTTTTATGCTTGTTCAGCTCTACTAACTTATAAAGCTGTACAATTTGTTCCCATTTTATACTTATAAGAACTGTATAAGCACTTATACAGCCAAGAAACAAAGCCTTTAGTATAAAAACAAACTTCAATACAACTTGTATATAGCTTGCAATGCTGCTTGGGATAGACAAAATGCCTTGTAACATGCTATGCCATAACTTATGAGTTATGAGTGGATCTAATATATCAGATGCATCATGAAAAGACGTAAAAACGTTTGATATATATCTAGAGGTTTTTATGTGACTATGTGGACTTATAAACAGTTCTTGACAGTAAATTTATACAGAGAAATTAAGTTAAAAGTACAAGACTTACCCGGGCCGTCAATAAGTGCAATGACGTCGGTGAGGTCGTCGTCGCGGAGCACAACCTTGATGCCGGCAGGCGGGTTAGCTGCCAGGCGACGCACTTCACGTACCACGCCGCGCAACACCTGCGGGCATACGTTCTCCACGTTCGACATCCCGCTGTGCTCAGCGCCCGCCGCCCTCCACCATCACACGTGGTTCGCGTTTACACCCAGGCCAACGTTTGTCGTTCGCCCGATTTCAGTCCTATTTTTTAACAGATACCTACCTAATGGAAAAAATTAAACACCTTTATTTAAGTTATTCACAGCCTTGACCCGCCTTTAGAAGCCTCGAAAAATGATGTTATCTTTAAAACACAATTATTTTAACACAAAATGCAACCTAGTTTCGTTCTAAAATTGTTATTTGTTTTTATAAAGTAGTAAACAGAAAAGAACAGAACAGAATCATGTCAGCTTTACATAGACACGTAGCTTTTTTTTGCTTTAAAACTGGCTTTACGGCTCTGGGTTCTAGCCCTTATGAGCCTGAAGTTACAACGTATAATTATTATCCGTCATATTATAGTGCTTCAAAATATGTTGATGCGTCACATTGTGCAGTCCTTGCGAGATTTTGACGGCAACTTGAGCCAGCAGACAGCTGAAAGTTGGCGATGGTATCTCAAGGCGCCTAATCATACAGACACCGTATCTTGAGAATCACATCACTCTCAGAGCACTTGTTTCACCGTTTCCATTAATAGTTCACATGCGCAGACATTTAATACACAAAATAGCACCACTTTTACATATTAAAATCCATTTCAAACCATTATTTAAACAAAAATACAGGAGCAGCAATCCATCGCCGGTCAAGTTCCCGCCAAAACTCTAAAACACGCAGATTAGACAGTTGTACCAAAGAGTATATATTCACTACGTTTTAAATTGTAGTACGTTACAAGCAGTGCCACCAGATGTAAAAAAGGCAACACATGCTCTATTGGTATAAGGTTGTATTTTAGGAAAACATTAAATATAAAATAAATCGCACGTTTTTGTTATGTAAATAAATGTTACAGTCACCGAACTCAAGCTGGTAGGTTTTCTAGCTGAGCATATTATTTTAAACTGCGAATCACATGCCAGATTTAATAAACGGTATTTTTAATTGATGAGAAACATTTCTACTTATGAGTGCATTAACCTTAATGACAACCATACAGTTGTGGTGTAAGAATATCCACTGCCCCAAATCGTCCCGTGGGTATCGTAAGATGCAAAAGAGGGAAATAACCAGAAGATGGACAGTCGAGTCTTTTTAATAACAGCCAGAAAAAAAATAAGATTGCTAAACCGTCTACCAAGCATCTCATCTATGGCCAAATACTCTATTATGTGGCAATCTATGGGAGGCCTACGTTTAACAGTGGATTTAGATAGGCTATAATGAATGAATTATATAAAAAAACGTAATGTTATATTAATAGCATTTTCATGGCGCCACTCACTGTATACCCCAAAATTCAACGTTAAGTGGGTACCAGGGAGTGGACAAATTAATGACTACCCAGTTAAAAAAATCTGACTCTTTTTTAAGTTATAATAACTTTTTTAAATAAATTTGACACGCTATATAATATTTTTAGGTACTAAGATGCAAATATCACTATTTTCTTTTTCAATCAACTTCAAAAAAGGAGGAGCTTCTCAATTCGACTGTATTTTTATGTGTGTTACCTAAGAACTTTTTAATAAGAGCTATTATGATGATTCCTTTTTTATTTGAAAGCTAGTGCTTTTCATGTGGTCCCATATGTATTTGATCAAGATCTGTTCAGTAGTTTTTGAATTATCCTTACTAATGAGTATTTATTTTCTTACGTGGTAGAGCCATGCTGCAGCTATATTACTGGTATAGTTGTAGCACGAATGGGTCGGCTCGACCGAGGAAGGTCCACGCTCTCACAGAATACAAGCGTAAAATAGCAGCATAACTCTGCTGTGTTTCGTATAGTGAGTGTAGAGAACCGGAGACCCTTTTTTACTGGAAACGAGGCATCCCATGTTAATCCTCACGGGTGACAACGCATCGGTATTTTGATTCGTAATCGAGGATAGATGTAGATGTCTATGGGCCACAGCAACCACTTACCATCAGGTGCACTGTATGCTCGTTTGTCACCCTAATTCTATAAAAAAAATTAATTGACGTCAAATACATTGATGATGTTCTTATTTTATTTATATTAAAATCGGTTGTACAAAATGTTTAATTTTACAACTTGTTTTGTATCAGCAACCTAAGTAGTATAGCTGTTCATCCCAATTCCACAAAACACAAAAATATCTGAAGTTTTATAAAAAAAATAAATTTAAGTTAATTTTCTTTTGCAATTATAGAAAATTTTGACTTTTAATTAACTTCCACTCGACACAGTATACAGTATGTATCAACACTACTATAGCAAGTGATTATAAAAGTTAGCACAACTAATCAAGATTGTAAAATGGTAAAATACTATAGTGACACTAAACATCACTGAAAACATCTAGAATTACATTATGCTCAGTTTGGTTTTAGACCTAGCCTATCAACTGAATGTGCGATTATGTCACTCAAGCACATTGTCAAGTACTACACAGGTAGGAAAACATGTGTATATGTTGCTTTTCTTGATCTGTCGAAGGCATTTGACCTGGCTAGATATGATATACTCCATGCGAAGCTGACTGACGCTGGTGTGCCTGCCGATGTGGTAAACATCTTTAAGTACTGGTATGGTCATCAGACTAACCAGGTTAAGTGGCTTGGACAATTTTCTGATGAGTACAGGTTGGAATGTGGGGTGAGGCAAGATAGTTTGACTTCTCCCTTATTTTCAACGTGTACATTAACCATTTGACAGCGGAACTCAGCAGCATACGGGTCGAATGCTCTCTTGACGGACACTGTGTCAATAGCATCAGTTACGCTGACGACATAGTACTGCTGAGTACCTCTCTCAGAAAATTAATCTTAGTTTGTGAGCAGTTCGTGGAATCACATGGTCTTATTTATAATGTAAGGAAGAGCAAGCTTATGGTGTTTCAAGCGAAGGAACGTAAAGTAGTTTGTGTTCCACCAGGAAATTTAAATGGGGCGGTTCTTACGTTTTTTTTGCACTTAATGCAAAGCTACCCTCCGGAAGCGGGGAAAGGAGGTGGTGAATCCTCATAGCATACCAGACAGACAAACAGACAGAAAAAAAATTGAGTTTTTGTCATAAGTACCGTATATACTTTCATATGCATTTAGTAAAAAGCTATTATTTTGATATTACCAGCAGACACTTCAATTTTATTTATTTGTATAGATTCAAATAATATAAAAAAATATAACAGTATGTCATTACATGATAACTATAACTTTTATATTAATTCTTATCACTAGTACTAGTGTTTAGTTAGCAAGGCAATGAAAATTAAAGACGCACCGTATTTGGTTGTTCTATCACTTTTGCACATTGCAAACATAAAAGGACCTGACCCTGTTAAGTCCTTCTATTTTCAACATCCTCCTGGATTTTTTTCAACTTACTTCTATATTTTCAGTGTAAAAGAAATGATGTCTTTTAAATTTTCTCTTATTTTATCATAATCCATCATATTATAATTTACATACTTTGGTTAACACATTCATTGTCCGATTTTCAGACACAATAGTAAAACAATACCAATTCACCTATATGTAGTACACGGGACAGCGAAAGGGTAAAATTATGGTCAAAAGTAAGCCCATCTACTACATAAAAACACAGTTAGACGATTTAAAATACGACCATATTTAAGCATACAAACCATTATTGTATAAAGTGTTGGGACAGCATGACGAAACAATTCAATTCTTGTCCTTTTTTGGATTAATAAATTCCTTTCAAAGTGCCTGGAGTAAAGTCGAAATATTAAGTAGGCTCGAAATTCTTCTTACCGGTTGCTAAAACTCATTTTTTTTTATTTCCGAATCAATTGGGAAACTGACAAATAAAAAAAAACATCAAGATGAATAAATTGAATGACGTACTAAGCGCAGGTATATTAACACAATGGTAAATATGTAGTACTAGCTGTGTCCCGCGGTTTCACCTGCGCCATTACGTGTCCGAGGTGCGCGACATGACCTAGTTCAACCATTTTATAACGGTTAGGTGTTAAGCATCGTTCGCGCGCCCAGCCAAGTATTGAATTATTTTAATTTTACATTATCTCTTAAATTATGCGTCCAAATAACATGGTATAACGAACAAAGTTTATCTTCATAAAATTGTCTTGATGATGAAGTAACTTTCATTCGTGAGGATAAATAGGCCATGCCTAATAATAACGCTCATAAATCACTTTTAAATTTTCAATATTTTTTTGTCACAAAATACCAAATTATGGCTTATGTATAAGAAATAGACATATGGTATCGCGGACTTTTTTTTAGACGGAGTAAAGGTCTATATTTTTCTAGAACATTGTATTTACATATCCCTAACGATAACTCCAGCGTACGCCGATAAATCATTTCGGAAGTGCTTTTTCTTCTGACTTGCTTAACAAATATCCATATTTAAGGCTAGCTGAGTAATATAGCTTAATAGATAATAGATAGATAGCCTATACTATTCCACATGAATCTGGGTATAATATACAAAAAGAATTTTTCAAATCGGACTGGTAGTTCCTGAGATTAGCGCGTTTAAACAAACAAAAAAACAAAAAAACTCTTCCGCTTTATTATATTAATATAAACAATACATTAATCAAAAATCAAAATCAAAAATATCTTTACTTCACAACACAGTGGTTAATAATTGTAAACAGAGGTTGGGACCAACCTATTAAGTAATAATAATACTTGTGCCAGGTGGCCCCGCTCTTCCTTACTATACTACATATATTTAATTGTGCTTGTGAAGACAATTTGGCAAAATACTTAAAAAAATAGTTAATATTAACATCAGTTTAGAGTGAAATATAAGGCAAAACAACAATCAATTTTTAATAAAACTTACATATTACCTGAAATGGATTAATTCTGAATTTTAACAAAATCATGCGAGCCTGCGTGCATGCGTGCGCGCAGGCGCGCGCGTGCGCGCGCTCGCGCGTTTTGTGTGTGTGTGTGTGTGTTGTGAGTGTGTGTT